TCCCATTTCATATATATTCTCATATTTCATGGATTTGATCTCCTAGGTTGAGAGAGGTAGACTTCTCAGTTGCTAATGTTTTTGTATCTTGGATTTCTATAGTTTATATATTCATGATTATCTTTATTTTATTTTTAGTCATTATTTTCAGCAGTTCTGATATATTATTTTAGAAGCATATCTTATATACAGTTTAGGGGGGATTTGCTATATCAGTTGTTAAACTTTAGCATGCATCAAAATCACCTGGAGAAGGCTTCTCTGGTGGTCCAGTGCTTAAGAATCTGCCTGCCAATGCTGGGGACTTGGGTTTGATCCCTGCTCTGGGAAGATCCCACATGCCACAGAGCAACTAAGCCTGTGAGCCACAACTACTGAGCCTGTAAGCCTAGAGCATGTGCTCTGCAACAAGAGAAACCACCACAATGAGAAGCTCATGCACTGCAACTAGAAAGGTAGCCCCCACTCACCCCAACCAGAGACAGCCTGGGCAAAGCGATCAAGACTCAGCTCAGCCAAAGAATAAAATAAATAAGCATATAATAAATCTTTTAAAAAAAATCACCTGAAGGGCTTGTTAAATACAGACTACTGGGCCCCACCCACAGCTTTTTTAAGATTCAGGAGGTCTGGCTTGAGGGCTGAGAATTTTCTACATGAGCCTATCATAGATTTTTTAATAGTTATTATTATTCTGTTTGCATTTTTTGACAGGAACAGTATGGTTGGTATTGATTCTAATTTTCTGTACTGTTTTAAATTCTTTTTTGTTTTTTTGCCCACATGTCATGGCTTGTGGGATCTTGGTTCCCTAAGAAGGAATTGAACCCATGCCCTTAGTAGTGAAAGCACAGAGTCCTAACCACTGGACTGCTAGGGCATTCCCTACTGTTTTAAATTCTGCCTCATCTTTTATCTTTTGCTGTAGGATTTTTTTTTTTTTTTTCTGTAGAATCTTTGTTGTGATATATATCTTCTTGAGCATTTGGGAAGTTTATTTTTTTTCTTTCTTGTGTTTGCTTTTATATTCATAATTTTCTTAGTCTTCATCCTTGATTTTAGATAATACCTATTTACTATCACTAGGAGTGATGTATATTTTATACATTTTACAATGTATATATTTTCAGTCTCCCTCTTCCCTTCATCATGTTGTGATTATTATTCCAGCTTTAAATAGTAACAGTTGTACTGTTCTTATCGCCCCTGTCATGTGTATGAAATTCTTGGCATCTTTGCCTTTGATTGTGTAGTGATCCATTTATCAAAATCTTATCCACTGTTCAATCTTAAACTTCATTTTTATTGAACTGTCTCTTACTTCTAGCCCAATCTCTCTAATCCTTGTATCTCCCATCTCAGATACAGAGTAACTTGGATTTTAAGTATTAATATATACTCTCTTGGGTTTGTATTTTTCACTACATTGAAATGTAAATTCACTTCATTGTAAATTCGAGGGCGCTTGTTGAGTTGCTTCAGTCATGTCCCACTCTATGTGACCCTATGGAGTGCAGCCAGCCAGACTCCTGTCCATGGGATTCTCTAGCCATTGATACGTTTTATTTTGTGAAATGTCTATTCTAGTCTTTCTCCCATTTTAAAAACTAAATTGTTTTTATCTTTTTATTATTGAGTTTTAGCGGTTCTATATATTTTGGAGAGAAGCCCTTTATTAGTTCCTCCCAGTCTATGGCTTTTGTTTTTGTTTTCTTAACTGTGTTTTTTGAAGGGCATTAATTAGTTTTTAGTTTTGATGAAGTCTACCATTTTTTCTTTTATATTTATTAATAGTTTTAATGCTCATGCTGTGGTCTGTGATTCATTTTGAGTGAATTTTTGCTTATGGTATGCAGTGAGTGTTCAGGTTATTTTTTTCTAATTATAGAAATTACAGCATTGATAAGAGTGGCAGCATATTACTAGTCAGTTCTTAAAATTATTTCTGTGAAAATGAGGATAAAATTTTGAGATGGATAAATCAGGATAATGTCAAAGGTTTCGAGAGAGTGGGTGGAAAACAGCTACAAAAGAAAGGATTTAGAGAGGGCAAGAAAAGAGTTTTTGACAAAAAAGAGCTTGGGTGCCAGAATATCAGGCATAATGAAAGAAGAAAAATAAATGAAAACTGAAATTTGATGGCAGTGACAGTTTCAGTATCCAGAAATGATAGTATCAGTAATCAAAATGGAAATAAAAATCAGATTTGGAAGCAAAGATGGCTATTTTCTGCCATGTTTTCTTTTTTTTCCCTTTCCCATTAAATGTATATGTACTTTGCTGTTTAGCCCATGTGAAACTCAGTTGTAAGTAGGTAAAAAAGCACTGTCTATAGTTATTACACATTTCTAGATTGATTCAAGTTAAAAGGCCTAAGTCTTCAAGGAAATTTCTGTAGGTATAACAAATTGGAGCTTTTAGAAGTCAGATAGGATTATAGCTGTGCTTACTCCATTCTTCCTTACCCACCGTTCTTGCTTCATGTAGACAGCCACCTTAAACTCATCTGACTGTGTCTATTGGTGTTTATTCTCGCATTTCATATAGCTGTTTTACCTATTTTAAATGCAGTCAGTTTTAATCATTATCAACATCCTAATAAGAAAGATGGGGCTCAGAAAATTTCCTGCATTCATTTTTCATATTTTCTGTGATGATTATAATCAGTGTCCATGAGTAGGTCTGTTAAAATGGTGGCTTCACTGTACACATTCAGTTGGATATATGTCTTTCTTTTCTATGACTCCAAATATCAGTATCTATCAGGGTTCTCATGATTTTCTCATTTTTTCAGACAAGAACCCTTCCATATCTGACACCTGGCAACTACCAGCATTCCTGTAGTCTAGCAGTAGAAAGAAGCTGGAATTCTATACTATATATAAATTTTTACTTATCACCCTCTTTCAGTATGGCATTCTCATCTACTTTCTCTGTCAAAACTAAATTTGGAGTTTCTCAGTTACACTTTTCTGGATAATAAATTCCAATTTCCTTCCAGTTAGGAGAGTTGGGTGCATCAGCTTCTCCTTATGTAATAATTTTATAAGCCACTTTCAGTTCTTACTCAATCTGTCCATAAAGTTATAGAGCCTTTTTGTCAACAGCTGTGTCACAAATTACCTTTCATCTAAGTGACATCCTCATCTACTAGCATTTTATTTAAGCCTCTCAGTTTTGTGGTTTAGTCCTTTATTCGCTTTCCTTTGAACATTTCCTAATACTTTCATCCATTGTTGTTTCCTCAGCCTTTCAATTTTTATGAATAATGCCCTTCATCCCCTTATTGTCATTTTAATGGAGCTTCAGGAAGATGTAGAAATAAACATCTTAACACATCCCTTTAATAATACTATTCATTTTTTATCCCTTCATCGTACACTTTACAGTGTTATGTTTGCCTTTCATCCTGTCACCTGTTCTTTATGTTTTCCCTTATTTTACTGATTTATAAAGCATACATTGTTTCATTTAAAACCAGTTTAAGCTAATGTACCCATGGGTGTCATTTGTACTTGAGCTTTCTTTTATACTGTTAGGTTAGGTTTGAAATTAAAAGTCTATTTTTAAATGGCACTGTTGTTTATTCTTTTGGCTGTGCTGGGTCTTTGCTGCTGCACTGGGACTTTCTCTAGCTGCAGTGAGTGGGGGACACTCTTCATTGCAAGGAGCAGGCCTTTTACTGCAGTGGCCTCTCCTGCTGCGGAGCATGGACTTTAGGCACTCGGGCTTCAGTAGTAGCAGCATTCAGGCTCAGTAGTTGTGGCCTGTGGGCTTAGTTGCTCCATGGCATGTGGGACCAGGCATCGAACTATGTCCTCGGCGTTGGCAGGTGGACTTTTAACAACTGGACCACAAGAGAAGCCCTAAATTGTACATTTCTGAAATTTTATTAAAAATAGTGGAGAAGTTCACAAGTGTGATACTGATGATGATGATGATGATGATAGCTACCTTATTACATGTTCACTACATGCCAGGCATTAAATATTTTACAGTTAGTTACTCTTTTCAATGATCTTTTTTTTGTACTCCCTTTCAGAAAAGGCCTGGGAAATATATAAATAAATAAAGATACAACAGGAAAGACCTTTGAGTTAAGTTGCATCCTTCTTTGTGAAAATACAGAAAGAAAAACTCAGACAACTTCATAAAATACAGCTAAAAAAAAAATTTCAGAAAAGTATTTCCTCTGAGCACAGACATTGATTCTTTAAAAGACTACTCTACTCTATGTATGGGACTCAGTTTAAAAATTTGGACATAACTTACACTTAAGTATGAGAGAAGCTATCTAAAAAAGAACCATTAAGAATATAATGAGGATGCTACATTTCATCCCAATTTATAATCATCTGACCTCAGGATAACCAGTGTGAAAAGTCTTCCATCATAAATTCAACTTTGTTAGAAGAGAATTATTATTGGAGAGAAACCATCTGCATATGTTGAATGTGGGAAAGCTTTCACCTATGTCACGTGTCAAGAGATACTAAGGAATTCTTGTTGGAGAAAATACCTGTGCATGATAAGAATGCTGGAAAGCCTTCGGCCTGAATCAGATCTCCTTCAGCATGATCAAATTCATACTGGAGAGAAACTTTATGAATGTAATGAGTGTGGAAAAACATTTAGCCTAAAGCAAAACCTCACAGAGCATAAGAAAATGCATACTGCAAAGAAATCACATGAATGTACTGAATGTGGTAAAGTGTTCTCTCGAGTATCATCCCTTACTCTACATTTGAGAAGTCATACAGGAAAGAAATATCAATGTAATAAATGTGGAAAAGCCTTTAGCCAGAAAGGAAACTTGCTTACTCATCAAAAACATCATACTGGAGAGAAAACTTATGAATGTGGGAAAGCTTCTATTCAGATGTCAAGCCTTATTAAACACCAGAGAAATCATATTGGAAACAAACCCTATGCATGTAAAGAATGTGGCAAAGCCTTCAGTGGCAAATCATATCTCTCTGAGCATGAGAAAATTCATACAGGAGAGAAACCCTTTGAATGTAACCAATGTGGAAGAGCCTTCAGCCAGAAGCAATACCTCGTCAAACATCAGAATATCCATAGTGGAAAGAAACCCTTTAAATGTAATGAGTGTGGAAAAGCCTTTAGCCAGAAAGAAAACCTCATTATCCATCAAAGAATTCATACTGGAGAGAAACCTTATGAATGTAAAGGGTGTGGGAAAGCTTTCATTCAGAAGTCAAGCCTCATTAGACACCAGAGAAGTCATACAGGAGAGAAACCTTATATATGTAAGGAATGTGGAAAAGCCTTCAGTGGCAAATCAAACCTCACTGAGCATGAGAAAATTCATATTGGAGAGAAACCCTATAAGTGTAATGAATGTGGAACAATCTTTAGGCAGAAGCAGTACCTCATTAAACATCACAATATTCATACAGGAGAGAAACCCTATGAATGTAATAAATGTGGAAAAGCCTTCTCTCGAATCACATCACTTATTGTACATGTGAGAATTCATACAGGTGATAAGCCTTATGAATGTAAAATATGTGGGAAAGCCTTCTGTCAAAGCTCATCTCTTACTGTGCATATGAGAAGCCATACAGGTGAGAAGCCCTATGGTTGCAATGAATGTGGGAAAGCCTTCTCTCAGTTCTCAACTCTTGCTCTGCATATGAGAATCCATACTGGAGAAAAACCTTATCAGTGTAATGAATGTGGGAAAGCTTTTAGCCAGAAGTCACATCATATTAGACACCAGAGAATTCATACTCATTAAAGCTTTATGAATGTCTTGAGTTTAGGAAAACCTTCAATAGAAGTCATACTAAACAGTGTATCAGAAAATTCATTTTACAGTAAAGTGACATGAATATGGAAAAACCTACAGCAACAACTCAAAATGTAATACACTGAGAAATAACTATCATACTGTCATGAAAACCTATACCCCCAATACCCCCACAACAAACATGTTCATGCTGGACTTTTGGGAGCATTCTCATTAAGGATCCAGTCATGGACACTAATCAACATGGTTCTAGAAGGCCTACCTGATATATTCAGACAAAGATATGCAAGGTGTAAAGATGTGAAACAAAGACAAAATTGTCATTATTTTGTTACATGTTTTACTACATGTATAACCATCAAAATTACTTGCTCTTGAAAACAAACATTGTGCCAGGATATTATATCCAGAAATATATGCATGTTTGTAAGGGAAATTGGCAGTTCATAGAGGTGGTAATCTCAAATTGGTAGAAAAATCTGGATAATTCAAAAAATGGTCTCAGGGTAATTGATTCTTCATGTGGAAAAATACTAGAACTTTGCTGTTGTCATACATTATAAAGTATTTATTAAAAAGTTCAAAAGTATTGAAGACTAGAACTCAAAGAGCAAAACTTAATAATATAAGAGTTTTGTAGGAGAATTTTTTTTCAAACTTTGGAGTAGGAAAGAATTTTGAAAACACATTCCAGAATACCCATTCTTGAGTATATATACATATAGTGAAGAAACTGATACATGTACCCAGGGAGTCCTGTATCTTTAATGTTCATTGCAGCATGAGTTATATTAATATAGCAAAAAATTGGAAACAAATGTCTGTCACTTTGGAGATGGTTGATAAAATGTGATGTAGTCACCCTGTAGAATACTCTCTAGCAGTTAAGTGTAACAAATTAAATCTATATGTATTAACAGAAAGATCTGAAAGTCATGTAGAGTGAAAATGAAGTGTTGAATATATTATAACTATACCTGTGTTTGAATTAAATCAACACTAACCAACACTAGTATTAAAGCATTGGTTATGGGTAAACATTTTTATGTAAAACTATGAAGAATGGATTGGAAGGATACATACTCAATTCCTAAAAATGGTTGTCTCTAGAAAGGAAGGGAGTAGAAGGGAAATGGGGCCAATCATGGTGGATGAACGATACTTCAGTTTTGTATCTAAATATCTATCTTATTAAAAAAATAAAGATTCCAAGTAAATATCAGAAAATATTAGTTGATTCTGGATTGTAATAATATATGAGTTTATTCTGTTTATGCTGTTTCTTTAAAACTTCTGAAAATTAAAAAAAATAGGGATAGGAGTAGAGAGACTACATGGAATACATGTTATAATGGACTTACATTTCCAATTAGATGCATATACTTTGCAAAAAATATTTCTGAAATCATATCTTTACTATAAAACATGAAATAAAATTTAAAATTTTAATGGTAACTTAATATCCATTTATTTAAATTTACTGTCAAATGTATCACTAATCTTTGTGGTCTCTGAGAGCATGATTTTGCAACAGGTGATTGAAGCACATTAATTCAAGGATCATATTACTTTATAATACATGCACAGACTTGTTAGAAATAATTAGTTTTTCAGAAACATTTATCAGAGATTTTAATAGGCCACATAACCAGTTCTGGTATTAGAAATTAGACATTTTAAAAATGAAGAAAACATGTTAGTCTTTTTTTTTTTTTTTGGTATGACACCAAGTAAAACAACTGTTGCATTTCAGCTTCAGTTTTTAACTCAGACTAGTTATTTTCTCTAATTTGCCAGACACAGTCAACTCCTCCACCCCACTTCTAGTTTGTTTCCTTGTGGAAAATGGAACTGAAAAGGGAGATCTCAGACCTAAAGAGAATTCTCTTATTAAAAGCAAATCTTGAGGATTTTCTATTCTTTACCACAATAACTTGATATATAGAAACAGTTAATGCTTCTTTTGAATAGTGATAGTGAGTATGTAACATTTAAATCTTAGGCTCCATTCAAATATATCGATTTGTCTTAAACTCAGAAAAATACTATGCCAATATAACTATAGCACTGCACTGCTTGTTACTGGCATTTTTGATATTTGGTTTTAAGATTATAAATGCCATAGGTTGACTTTGTGAGGTAATGTATCCAAGTAACATATATGTGTATCTACATGAATCTAAATTATCCTCTTTTCTTCCATTTTTCATTGAAAATTCTCTGATATTCCTTAAGTATTATGCTCTTGTGCTGGTACATCTTTGAAGTCACAGAGCAACTAGGAACTATAATCCAGACAAAACTAGGATTACCATTTAGTGCATATAGTTGGCCAGTGCCACGGCTCAGCAACAAGAATGATTATAATGGTCAGGTAGAGTAAGATAAGCAGATGCTGCATGGTATTCTGTGATGGTGTGTACTGTGTATTTATTTATTCACCCATCCTCCCTGCTGATTCAGCTTGTTACTAGTTATTTACCATGACAGACAACACAAGTAAACACCCTTACAAGTGGCCCTTACATTTTAGGTATTTTTATTTCCAGGGGACAGATTATAGGCAAGAGACTGCTAGATCAAAGGATATGTGCTATTTAAAAATTTTAGTAGATGCTATCGGTTATTTTCAAATCAAGTTTCCTCCAGCTATACAATAGGTGGTATTATACTAAAATTCATGTTTGTCTGATGAGTATAAACCTCACCTGTTCCTAGATTTGCTTCTTTGTAAACTTTCATATTGTTAGCCTATATTCCTATAGGATTATTTATCTTTTGGTCAGTTTTGAAGATCTCTTTCCATATTAGATATTAGGAAATGTATGGGTCAGTTATAAAGATACTTTAATCTTTACATTATATATGTTATTTCTTAGGTTTTCTTTCAAGTTGTCTATTTCCTTTTTGTAATATATTAATATATTAACCCATCTGGAATTGAATTTTTTTTTAGAATTGAATTTTTAATTTATGAGGGTTCATATTTTTTTCTTCCAGATGGGTTGCCAGTTGTACAAACACAATTTGTTAAAATAATCCAGCAGTCAGTTTAGGGTCAAACAGCTCTTGACACCTGCATGTCCACCAGAAACAATCACAGATTTGAACTGGCAATCAGAAAGAGGAAGAGAGATAACAGAATAAGCTTTAACCTAGCATTAGGTTTATTATTAGCTTTGTCCTAACAAGAAAATATCTTTACAGCATGTTCATCAGAAAGTCTTGCAAGTGCTCAAGCAAGCACAGCTTCCACTGCCCCACACTGCACAGAGGAGACAAGGTCAGAATAGGTGTGGTTCACCTCAGCACTGGGAGACTAACATTCTTATCCAGCACATTCATCGAGCAGGGCATCTGCATGGTGTGCCACCATCAAATAGGGTGCACTCACTTGTAACAGGGGTAACCACTTAAGCACAGGGAAGCTACTACCTTGGTTTCCCAAGACTTATGATGCCTTAGTTATATAGGCAGTCAGTGTCTACATGCCAGTTCACAGTTCATCCCATCCAGGTACAGGCCACAAATGAGAGATTTCCAGTATTTTCTTCAAGGAAACTAGTAGAAAAACAAATCTAAAGTCATCTTTTCAGGTATGGGTCAGTGGGAACGGCCTATTACTTTGATACCATACTTTTCCTATTCAACTAAAACTTTGCTAAAAAAACAAAAACAAAAACACTTTGCTATGTAATTCTTTACCCAAATGATCTTTTATTCTACTTTAACTGGCTTATATTTTGATTTACACCAGGAGTTATTTATATTATCTTGCTTCATTCATCTATTTTTCTATTCCTATACTAACATTAACGGATAATGTTAACATTAGCCTTATTGTATTTTGTTACTGTAAGTCCCCCACTCCTTGCTGTTTTTCAGTTTTATTGGCTAATCTTCATCTTTCTTTCTCTCTACCCTCTATAAATGAAGGTAGGTCTTCTCAAATTATAAAAACCCTTTGAAATTCTAATTAGAATTGCCTGAAGTGTATACATTTGGGGAGAAATGATATTTATGATACTATCTTCCTATCCCCAAACATAGTAAGCCTTTGCATAGGTTCAAATTGCAATTCCCATCCTTCAGCATGAGAATTCAGAACAGAGTAAAGCCCATCCCTGCATAATACCATTAAAGATTTTTGTTAGTTGAGTTAAATAAGGAACCCCAGCCCAGCTCAGAGTTCATGTGCTGAAGCCCTAGTGCCTAGCGTGATGGTATTTGGAGATAGGGCCCTAGAAAATTAATTATGTTTAGATGAGGTCACGAGGATGGTACAGTCCTGGTGGAAGTAATGCCCTCATAAGGAATGGGGCATTGTGTGTGCACCAAAAAAAGGCCATGTGAGTAGAGTGAGACAGTAGCTGTCTACAATCCAGGAAATGGACCTTTTCCAAATCTGCCAGCACTTGCTATTGGGGCTTCTCAGCCTCTACAACTGTGAGAAATAAATTATTGTTTAAGCCACTCAGTCTATGATATTTTGTTATAGTAGCCCAAACTAAGACAGTCCCTTTCCTGCTTATTTCTACCCTAGCCAGTTAAATGTGAGGTAACCTTGTCAGATGTTTAACTGTGAGCTCCCAGATACATTAAGACAAGTGGAAGTGAATGTCGCTCAGTTGTGTCCCACTCTTTGTGACCCCATAGACTATACAGTCCAAGGAATTCTCCAGGTCAGAATGCTGGAGTGGGTAGCCTATCCCTTCTCCAGGGGATCTTCACTACCCATGGATTGAACCCAGGTCCCCCACATTGCAGGCGGATTCTTTACCAGCTGAGCCACAGGGGAAGCCCAGCAATACTGGAGTGGGTAGCCCATCCCTTCTCCAGGGGACCTTTGCGACCCAGGGATGAAACTGGGGTCTCCTGCATTGCAGTAAGACAAAGCCACTTCCATTAGAACTGTAAAAACAGAAAAAGCCACAGAAGAGGAAACTAGATGGAAAACAAACATTTGAAAAGCTCATCCTCACAAATAA